CATGTTTCCTGTGCGTTTCTCCCTTCCTACACACGTTTCACCCTTCCTGACTCTCATTGTAACAACAGGAACGCTGTCAAGTTCCCAGTTGCTTACTGGGATTAACACAGTAGCTCTGATTTCTTAAGGCGGGGAGATTTCCTGGTGAAAACCATTCTAATTAAACTTACACCTCTCATAAAGTTAGAAATGTCCCCATGTAAAAGGCAGCTGAGTCTACTTGTTAAATGTCAGTGCCCCTATATCTTTAACAGCCTTAGGAGTCTATAGACACTGCCTGCTCAAAGATACAGGATTGCAGACAAATGGAAGAAGGAGACAAATATAGCACCTTAGACAAAAATCTTCCACACATGTGGCTGTGTATTTGTCAAGTTTTCATTGGCTTGAATGCACAGAGAGCCCACAGCAAACCCTTTCCACTGTAGATCTGGGTGGGCACCTCCGTTTTCCTTTTAGGATGCAATCTTGGACCTGAGGAAAGGAGTTCTCAGTTACAGGCCTCCAGGCAAGACAAGGCTGGCTGCAGAGCAGGGCAACAGCTGCACGAGTTTCCATTCCTCTCCCCACCCTCCTCCCCAAATGTGCCCCTCAATCCCGTGTCTGGGTGAGCCAGGAAGAGGAACGTGCTGGCATTTCCTATTATGCAGCCAATTGCATGTTAGGCGCTGAGACCATCAAGTGTTTTTTCATGTGGGCAGCTGAGCAGTGGTGGAACCACAACCTCTTTTGGTCACAACACCCGCAGACGTTCGTGACATTTCTACCCCCCCTCCTTATGCAACATGTCAGGCGTCTGTGATAATTTGCTGCCACAGGGACCACTTCCTGCACGCTGTTAGCAGCGTCTTCCTGGCCTGATGGCAGGCATTGTGCAAGGAACAGGGAAGATAATGTGCAGGGGAAGGTGTCAGGAAGCAAAAGGAACCCTGTTCTCCATCAGCAGCTCCTGGAAGAGAGAGGAGGGGAGAAAAGCAGCGACAGCTTTGAGGATGTGGTGGGAATAACTTCAGTTAGGAATTAGCAATGGCCTGCTCTCTGGAAGGTTAAAGAGTTAAATAAAAGGTATTTGAAGACTTACTTTGGAAAAAAGAAACACCCAAAAAAAAAGGTTAAGGCAAGTGTGAAAATAAATTAGAAGCTAGCAAAGATAAGAACAGAGCCTGCAGGAATCGAGTGTGAACAAAAGGCAGGGGCTGTGCAGCGAGAACACCGCGAATGGCAAGGGTTGAAATGTAAAACCTGCAGTTTACTGCCAAACATGAAAGATGCTGTTGTATTCCACACCTCCTCTTCCCAGGCATAGCTCTCTCTGCAAGGTGAAGAGCAGTAATGAATCAAGCTCCTTCCCTCTCTTCCTGTATTTTCTATTCAATTATTTGCAGGCTGTGCAGGTTCTGCTTTCTTTCCCCTCTCCATATGCTGCACTCTCCTCCTGGGGTTTTTCTAGTCCAGACTGTGCATTTGGCCTCTCTCCCATTCCTTTCTCCCCGGTTTGTGCCCCCTGCTCTGCCCAGATCTGCTGTCTTTGTAGCCTCTGCTGTGCACATATGCTGGCTCTCCCTCCCCTCGCCGCCACCCCCGCTCCTGGGCCATCCAGCGTCCCTTTGCTTCATGCCAGCATCTTTGCTGAGAGGCCCGTCAGAAAAGGAAAGATTTTGCAATGGCTCCTGCTCCCGTTCCATGCTGCCGGCTCCTCTCCACTGCTCAAGGGGAACCTGTGTTGCTCCCATAGTACAGCTGATTGGTAGCAAAGGCAAAGCCAGCTCTGCAGCTGCTTAGCAACTGGGAGCTGCTGTTATGCAGCAATGGATGGCACAGCACTCACTAATCGGGCACATTCTGGCCCATCACTGAAACCCGTGGCTTAGTGGAGCAGCTGGGGCACTCCCAACCGTGCTGTCAGCAAATAAATCAAGATCGGGATCTTTAACTGCAGGTTTGAGAGCAATGGCGACAATGTCAAGGGCAAAACTGGTTTGGCCTTGTGTTGTACACTGTCTGCACCACACCAGTTAAAACAAACTGCTCTGATTTGTAAGCTAAACTCATTCCAGTTGATCTCTGTCATCGCTCTTCTCGCTGCAACATTTTATACCCCATCGCTTATAATCAGAATGTTCCCTGAATGTGCTGTTAAAAAGGCTCCCTGGTCTCCAGCTACCATCACATCGAGACAGTTTAACAATAGGTGTCCAGATACACAAGCATTTTAATGCATAAATATCCTTGTAGAATACTTACCTCTATCTTCATCTCCTTTTGACACAAGCTCTGTGAGTGCCTGGATTCGTTAAATGGAACATTCTTTTCACTCCTTTTGGTAAAACTGTACTGGTTAGGCCAGGAGGCACTGAACTGGAGTGTTTAGTAATTGGATGGCTATAGAACATTGATTACAGTTGCCAACCTTCTTGATTTATGTCATTATTTTTATGAGCATTATGCTACAAAATAACCCATTGAACATTCTGAGGGGATCATGGTGCTTCAGTAGCAGCTGTGTATCAATAGGCAAGAGGCACCACAAAACATTCTGCAAGTCAGGTGTTGAAACAGCTTCTTTATTCCTTTATAGCTCCCGAATGATTAGATCTCTGAAAGCTCTCACTACCTATCTTACAGAGGTGGCTTTGTCATAGCACTAAAATAACATGAACAGATACAGTTTAAAAAGGAGCCTAAAAAAGCCTCAGCCCTGGCAAATATCCAACGTGTCCCATCAAAATTTGTATGGATCTTAAACAGAATAAATGGTTGTTCCACTCTTGGGTATCACCACACATCTCTGCATCGAGGCAGCCAAACGGCACAGCAGACTAGTCACTGTTCAATGCTTACTTACATCCCCAAGCATCCTCAGAGCATGCTGGGACACAGGTGAAACCTGTCAAGAGGTTGCTTATTTTGGCTGAGCAATTCCCCAGACAGCTCATCTGCTGTTCTTAGGAAGAAATGAAAAATTTAATGGCAAAAAAAGAACCCTGAACAAGCAAATACCCTGTCCAAATTCCTACTCAATATTCCTCTGATATTCTTAGCCTGGTTTCCTAAAAATAAAACAGTCTAATGTGACTGTGTTGTTCTGTGTGATTTTTCTGCTCCTTTCTCCAATCTCAATCAAATCTGGCAGTGAGGAAGAAGTCCCAAATGTATTTAGGTACTGAATGAACAGCTGAGTAGAGTAGGAGGAGAGCCTCCACCTCGGTTTGGGAAAAGGCTCATGCCCAGGGGCAGCACTGCTGCCTGGCAGGGCCCTGCGGAGCTCCCAGCTGGAACATTACCCCTCTCTCTGCCAGACAGGCCAAGCAGGGCTGGGAAATTTGTCAGAGGGTATTTATGGACACATGGGAGACAAAGCTTTGTGACTTTAGCTGCTGAGAGAGAAACTGCTTTATATTGCAAGGTTTGGTGGGAAATCGTAATAGCACTAGTAGGAGATTTCTGCAAGAGGGCTGATGTGCTGTGCTTCAACCTCTGCAAAGCATTTACCTAAGTAGGAGAATGAAAGACTAAGGTGGCATAATCCAATGGATTGAAATCCATTGAACAGGCAAGCCTCAAAACACAGCTGTCACCTTTCTTTTCTGGGTCCTGTAACTACCTGGTTTAGGCCTTGCATTATTTAATGGCTATGTTATAGACACTGAGGAAGGCAAATCCTGCAGTGTGCTTCCTGGCTCACTTCCAGCTCCTTAAACTGGGCTTTCTTCCATGAAACTGGGGTGTGGCAAGAGCATGGTGTACATCCCAATCTCCTCCTGACACAACATTGACTCAGCTGAGGTGTGCACACACCCAGAACCAGAACTCCTGGAGCAGAGGCAGAAGCAGTTGTTTATCTGGAAGAAAATACAAACCCAGGTCTGTAGGGGACACTCAACAGCAGCAGGAAGGGATTTTACAAAAAAAAAAAGGGTGCTGCAAGCAACAGTGCTATCTGAAGACTTATCCTTTTCAAGATGGCCAAGTGTAAAGCCACAGATGGAGGACAAAGAGCACAAACCAACGGTATGGGGATGCCATCCCAAGAAGGAGATCTGAGAGTATTTTAGCAGCCATGCTGGAAACCAGCTGACCATGGGCTGGTGTAATCCCTGCATGCCTGACAGAGCCATTCCAGCCAGGGGGGGATGGCGGTGCTGGTATCATTACCATTGACCACTCCTGCCCTTTCTGCCCAGCTCAGAGCAGTAAAGAACTGGAGTGTTCAAAGGGAACAGCGATAGGAAGGATTATAGGATTAGGGAAGAAGGACCCGAGGGGGAGCTCTGCAAGTCTGCAAGGGGAGTGTTAAATGCTCAGTTGATCCGCCTGTACACAGCTACAACAGGGACAGAAATCTGGCAAGGGAGCATTCCTCCATCAAGCAGACTGAGATACAGCAACATCCAGAAACCGAAAGCAGAAACCAGACACGTTTAAAAAGGTATTTTGATTTCCAGTCTGTCAGGCAGCTTTTGATGGAAACAATTTACTCGTATTTGACTCTCTCGAAGCCCATTTTAAAATGGAAGCCTCATGGTTTCCTAAGGCACTGGTATGCTGTAGTTAAATCCCTTCAACTGAGAAAAAGCAACAAACTCACAAAGATCTAATGACCTGCATAATGCAGGAAGTCAGACCAGATGAACCTGGGTCTCTTTTGTCCTTTATAATCTAGAAATCTAGTTTCCTTGCACAAGCAGTGGATTGTGACACGAAAACCTTTGCTATAAAGAGTTCTGTGTACAAGCCACTCTAAAAGGGCTGTAAACAGTCACAATCATTGTTTGGCAGAACAGCTGCATATTTCTGATTTCCCTTTGCCTCTCAATCTAATTTGTTCTCGTTGCAACACTCTGCCAAAGAAATTAAATCACTTCTTATTGATAACAATGAAATAATTACCATAAAGAGTTTTCCACTCAACAATGCAGGGGAGGGCGAGAACAAACCCCTTTGCTTCAGGAATGTGCACAGAGCCACCGCAAGCTGTTCAGAGAGGAAAAAACCCTCGCTTCTTCCCCTTTCTCCTGAAAGATCTCTTTCTTTCTCTGAAGAGTCTCACGCAGTAAACCAGGGTCAATCTAACCCAAGTATGAAAGTCTGGTTTGACCTTTCTGGGATCTAAACACGCTGTACCAGAACATTCAGCTTTTCAGATACAAGGTTCAGCCATGAAACCACCCACTCCGAGAGTGCAACCGGTCTTGACTGCCTCGGTGACTTTTAAACTACGCTGAATGTTACAGTCATTTAGAAACTGAAAAACGGAAAGAAATTGTCGTCTCAGACTCACAAACCCCACTTCCAGACGTGCCGAGGACCCACACAACTCACTGGGTCCGCACGGCGCGCTCGCTGCACGACGCCTGCTGCCCCAGCCATTGCTGGCCCTGGTCTGCACGTACGCGGGCGTCAGGACCTCTCCCAGCCGGAGCAGTTCATGGATTCTACCATCGGGAACGGCCGTCCTGAGCAATGATTAACTGCAGACAAAGATCATAGTCCTGGAAAATGCGCAGAGAAGTGCAAGTACAGACAAAGCTATTTGAGCTCCCACAGTATTATGGGCTGGCTGAATCGGTTCAAAGCCTGCGTAAGGCAAAGCTAGTTTGCTTTAGGGTTAACCAAACCAACATTAAGGTTTAAAAGCAGCTTATTACTAATATCCAAATATCTATTTAAACATCAGTTTTAAATCCCAGGCAAGTTAATAGCAGATGACGCCGTTTAAATCTGCTTTTTAATGACTTCACGTGCTGACTTAACTCACTGCGATGCAAGCTGCAGAAACCAGGTTTTGCTCCAGTTCAAAACCCCCCTGCAAAACCAGGAACAGATCTCCACGCTGTACTTTGATCCACACGTCGCCTGTTTCGGCCATTTCCAGGAAGCTAAACTGCTTTTCACCTCTATTGAGAAACAGCAGAGGAGCCTTTTAATGGTGTTTAGCTAAGAGAAACGTCACCACTTCATCCCAGTTTACCAGCAGATTACTGTTTGGAGCCATTGTAAACCAGGCAGGCGGTTGCAGCCGTGGCAGGAGCGAGGGCCAGGCGTTCCCAGCCGGTCTGGCCGGTCACCGCACGCCTCGCAGGGACGGAGCAAAGGGTCCGCCATGGCTCCCAGCACCGCAGCGTTTTAAAGCCAACCTGACAGTGCGGAAACACATAGATATATCTGTTTTCCCTTCCATGGAAACGTGTTCTGTTTGTGCGGACGGTTTGTCGCTTGTTCTCGACACAGCCTGACCCGGTGAGGAGCGAAAAGGGAGGGTGGGGGGGGAAACAAGAGATGGAGAGATGAACATAAGCCCTCGCGTCGTTGCGAAACGGTGCCTGCTTCGCGGCAGCACCCTGCTCCCTCGCAGGAGAACAGCACATACCGCAACACGGGGTTCACAGAGCCACGGAGCAGCTGGTCCTGAGCCGCAGGAACAGGCGGGCAGGGTGCACCCTGCCCCGCACATGCCGCTCCCGCAGGCAGCCTCTGCCAAGCAGCCACTTACCTTCTCCCTCCCACAGGGTCCTCAGGACGGTCCTGCTCTATAGCCTGACCGGGGAGGCCACCTCTCTCTAAGTGTTTGCTTTTCCTCCCTGTCCTGCCCTCTGCAGTGGTTGCTCAAGCCAGGCTTTTCCTAGCTCATCTAATTTGGGTTTGCAGTGGAGCACGAGGTGCAGCTCTTCACATAGAGCATAGCCAGGCTTGTGAAGCTCCGAAATGACCCCCACGCCTCCACCCAAAGCGAGCTGCAGGAAAATCTGCTCCAAAAAAAAAAAAAAAAAAAAAGGAAAAAAACCCAAAGCAAAAAGGAGAAGGAAAAAAAAAAAGATAGGAAAAAAGGCACATTGACACCTCGGCGGCCATGGCGGCTCGCACTGCAGCCGGCTCCGCGCCAGCCCAGACCGGCTGCGGGCCCGGGGAGAGCTCGGCGCTGCAGGCCGGGCCACCCCACCCCATCCCACCCCGGCTGCGGGCGGGCGGGTGGAGGCAGGGCAGCGGCTGCCCCGGCGGAGCGATGGCGAAGGGGGGGGAAAGCCCAGGAGGGGCAAGGAGATGGAAACCAACAAAGAGGCATGTGACGAGCGGCGGGGAGCAGGGCGCAGCGCAGCCCGCTCCGGGCGGGGAGGATGGCGACGCCGCCCTGCTCCTCCCGCGGCCAGCGCTGCTGCCTCATTTGCCTGGAGCCCCCCCCGCCATCCACCCGCAGCTGCCTGGGCTTTATTTGGAGGGGGAGCTGTTTGTTCCTGCTATTCTTCTTCCCCCCCCCTTCTGCATTAGGCTACTTTAATCTCTTGGTATTCACACAAGCGAGCGGGAGGCTGCGGCTGGGGGAAGGGAGGAAGGCGAGGGGCGGGCGGCATTATTTATAGGCACCCAGGGCTTCGCCTCCATTATGTGAGCCGCCTTTGTCCTTCTCGCTCAGCTCACACCCCCCCCCCCCCCCGCCGGGCTGGAGCGCCGCCAGCCCCGCCGCCTCTCGCTGCTGCAGGGCGCTTCCCGGCGCGGCCATGTTGTGCGCGGCAGCCAAGGGGAGAAAAAGCAGCCAAGCGCCCCGCTCCCTCCTCGGCTTCGCCTTCCACATCCCCTCACAAAGCGATAGGGGAAGGGGGAGGGAAAGGGGAGAAAAAAAGGGGGGGAAAAAAAGGCCATTTCCCTGCAGTGATCGGCACGCGAAGCGCCGCCAGGCAGTGGGGGAGAAGCCGCCTCGCCGCCGCCCCAGCGCTGAGGAGAACGCGGCGCTGAAGGAGAAGCCATGATGGCGGCTACTCTCACCCAACATGGAGCGCAACCGGGAGCGCCCTGCCCGCCGCCAGCCGCCCCTCCCGGCGCCCGGGACACGGTGCTTCCGCAGGCTTTCACATAATAAACCCACCAGACTTCGGCGGGGAGGCCATTGCATGGGCTGGGTGGCTGCACTAAAGCACAACTGCTGTGAATTATCAACTGCGTCACGGCTCTCCAACTGTAAAACTCAGGCTGCAAAAGGTCCCTCACTTGGAAGGAAACTCCCTCATTTCGGATTTACTTCCAGACCTCCTTCTTTTCCCCCCTCTCTCCAAGTCACTGCCTCTCGGTATGAAGGATTTTCACCGTGCTTTCTAGTGAGACAGCCGCCATTAAGACTCACCGTCTTGAAAAAACACCCCCCCACACCCATTTTGTTGCCTTTTTTCTTGGTCGAGCTTCTGTAATTAGACGGATAAAACACGTTAAGGGATCCCTACCACCACCACCGCCGTTCCGCCGGCTCCAAAACCCGCTCCAGTAACCTCTCCCTGTTCGCAGGCAGACTTTGACTGGGGTTTTTGTGTGTTCAGTTGGAACAGCCACATTGAACGCCTGCAATGGATTCACCAGAACAAACACCCCAGGGCTGCGGACGACCAGAAAAGAGAAATCCCTCCCTGAAAATAGCCCTTTCAGAGACGCTCTTAGATGTATCTGAGGAGAAAGGAGATCGCCAGCGCTCAGACAGACGACCATTAGGATCGTTCCGCCCAGGACAATAACGTTAGCTGCACAGGCCTGGGCTCTGTGTTCCTCTGCAAGGGCAAAAGGGTTTACTTACCCGCGCACCATAGTTGAAAGCAGCTCTGAAGGTGAAGTTGTTATGCTTTTTTAAAATAACCGCTATAAATATATATGATCTGTAGCACCACTTGTCCCGTACGTTTGCAAGTCAAAGCGGATCCTGTGTTCGGATAGTTACGGATCTGTGTGTGGCAGTGGGCTAGCATCAGAAAAAGGAGAAAAAGGCAATAGAAAAGAGTTGTCCAGCTCTGTTGACTGACCATACGCAGCGAGGACTCTTTACTCGAGGCTTAAATCTACCTTCCTGTGGCAGATTGACTCTGTACATAAAAAGGACGTTCAGTGTTTTTCCACAGAGCACGCAGACACTAAAAATATTCCCCTTCGTAGGTTTCAGCTGCACATGTTAAGTGTGAAAACACCTGGTTCACGTTTGCTGGCTGTAAATGGCTTTTTAAGCAGCTCTTAGCTAGGTATTTCGCTTAAAGTAGTTCAAAAAAGCATAAATTGGTTTTAGATGAACAAACGGAGAACATCAGACATGCAAATGAAGGCTTAGCAAGAAGGACCACTTCGGTAACATTAACATGAAAACTACACTTAGCAAGGACAGAATGGATTGGGTACTTACAACGTAAGAGGAAACAAAGAAAAAAAAGCTTATCATAGCGAAATCGCCAATTTGTTTGCCAGAATTCACTAGTCTTATGCCAGAACTTAAAATATTCTAAGCACCAAAGGAGTTAATAAAAATGGCCAGGAATCGAGTGTTTAACATAGGAAATACTCTCTACAATTTATTGCTCAGGCATTAGAGCTGTATAAAGCTTAACCCCCCACCCCAACCCAACAACAGAGAAAAACAAGAATGTATTTACTCTCATTTTGGCATTCGCAATTGCTAACTGCTGACATAGGGTGTGCCGTGACCTAGTTACACAAGACAAAGATGGATCCCGAACTGTAAGGGAAAGAGGAGAGAAAAAAAATCCGCATTTGTTTTTTTAGAGCTTTTTTTGGTTTTTGATTTGTGGTGTTTAAATCCTTCTTCAGTGAGTCCTCTAGCATGGTGCCAGACATGACCACCACCCCGAGCGCTCCCCGCGAGTGGCCGGTGTGCATTCATTCACATGGCGGATCCCCCGTTTAGGAACAAAGGAAAAGCCCAGTTGGCCATTTCGCTCCACTGCAGAAAAATGGCTGCCGGGTCTCGCGGCCTCTCCTCAGCCGTCTGCTGAAGGATGGCGTTAACACCGCCGTCTAATAACTCAAGCCCCATGGAAGCTGCGAGCCCATTGGCTGCGGCCGCCCCGCTGCCTTTACAACAACCAATTACCCGGCTCCCGGCCCGGGCTGCTCGCCGCGGACCCCGCAGGACCGAGTGTGCAGCCGCGCACCACGCACCGCCCGTGCTCCGCGCCCCGGTGAGCGGCGGGGGGACCCGCGCCGCCCGGCCTTTTAATACCGAAAACAAAATGGAAGCTCCCCGCTGATTGGCTGCCGCCGGGCACGGACCTTTAATAAGCAAAACTGCTCCCCCTTCTTTACCCCTGTGCCCAGCCGTAGTGCCGCCGAACGGCAGCGCTCCCCCTCTCCGCCGCCACCCCCCCGCTTCCTTCTCCCCGCCGCAGCGGGGCGGCGCGCTCCGCCCGGCCCGGGCTCGGTGAAGTCTTCCCCCTAAGAAAAAAAATAACTTGTCCCACCTATAGGTCCATCTTGTTTAGAAACAGTTTGCGCTAAGGTAAATGCAGTGGGCAGATTCCACTCGCCCCCCTGCACGCCGTTAACCCCGGGGCGGGAAGAGGGAAAAAATCAACCCATCCCGGCGGCGGCCCATGCGGCGGTGCGCAGCGGCGGCGGGGCGGCGGGGAACGGCCGCGGGCCGGGGGCTGCGCGGCGCGGCCGCCGTGAATGTGCAGGCGGCGGAGGGCGGTTAGGCGTTCGCGGCGCTCGCAGCGGTGGATTGTGGGAGGCCGCCGCCGCCAGCAGCGAGCACACACAATATGTGGTGGCTCGCGAAAACGGGAGGCAGGAGCCTGGCGGCCAGCCCGCGCCGGTAACCGGCCCCATGTGAGACGGGAGCTCGCCTTTCGCCGCCCGGAGACGATCGGCCGCCGAGCGCGATGTCTTTCCGAGAGATCAAGGCGGGGGAAAAAGCCAAGCACCCTGAAGATCATGGCAAAAAGCAGAGTTCAAGTGAGATTGGGTCTTTTTTTTTCCTCCCCCTCTCCTCCTCCTCTCTCCTCCTCCCTCTCTGCCTCTTGTCTGGCTGGGGTGGAGGGGGGACCCGGCTGGCAATTCCCCCATTTTAGGGCTCGCTTCGCGGTGGATTTCCTCCCTGCCTGGGTGTGTAGAGCGGGCGGCTCGTTTAAAAAAAAAACCCGACAACGAAGAGGTCTTTGTTGAATATTTTTTTTTTAACTTTATGTTTTTCCGCATGTTTTTTCTCTCCTCTTCCCCCTTCTTCACCCCCCCCACCCCCCCGCGGCCAGGTTGGATCAACGGAATGGAGAACAGCACGCAAGCCAGCACTTCTGTCGAGAAAAGAAATCACCATTGGAGAAGTTACAAGTTGATTATTGACCCGGCTCTGAAAAAAGGACAGCACAAACTCTACCGTTACGATGGGCAACATTTCAGCATGCCTGTGAGTGGGGGGGTCTTGGGTTTCCCCCATTGTGTTGTGCTCCCCCTCACCCTTCCTTTTCCTCTGTCTTACTGGTGTTTTGGGGGGCTAGGGGCTCTCTCCGGGTCGTGGTAACCCCCGCTGTAGCTCTTGTGTATGGGAGGGGGGTTTTGGGGGGACAGGCGCAGCCACCGAAGTTACCGCCACCTGACACTGTGTATTCAACTGTCAGGAGCCCAAACCTGCGGCTTTATTGCCGTGTTTCCAATCTGTGTGCATTTCCCAGCAGTATTGCAATTTGACACGTGCGTGTATGTGTGAGTGTGCTTTCCCCTTCCCCCGAGACAGCCCGGGCTTCCTTGGGGTTTATTTTCTTCCTTGTATCTTCAGTTTCAAACCTTGCTATTGCTGGTTTTGTGCTTTCTCTCCTCCTCCTAGAACTCGGGAATCGCTCCTGTGGATTGTGTCAGGGATCCCAGAATAGGGAGAATATGGACCAAAACTAAGGAGCTGGAGCTGTCTGTCCCCAAATTCAAGGTACAGCCCTGCCTTTTGGGTTTAACTCTGTATTCCTGTTTTATCTGGGAGTGAAGCCTCGGTTCCAAGTAGTTTAATGGACCATTTAAATGACAGTCATGCTCTTATTAGCATTGTTATTTGGCAAACTGTTAAACAATAATCCTTTTTTTATAAAGATAAGGAGGGATCAATGCAGCTGTCTGATGAGATCACTTCAAGGTGTTGGAGCTGTGTCTTGGGGGGCTCCTCGGGCAGGGGGCAAAGGAGGAGGGCTCTCTGCTGACAGCACTGCTCAAAACACACATTTGTAGCCCCAAAAGGCATCGGTTTCAATGAATGGCTGCAGCACCAGAGGCTCTGCTCAGCTCCGGGTTCATCTCAGACCTTTGGAGGCAGTTTTCTTTCCCTAAAGTTTGCAGGATACTTTAACCCTCCCCTTCCCCCGTGCCCATTGATGGTATCAGCCCCCTACCTTGTGCCTGTTTCCAGATTGATGAGTTCTACGTGGGGCCAGTGCCCCCCAAGCAGGTCACCTTTGCCAAGCTGAACGACAACATCCGTGAAAACTTCCTGACTGACATGTGCAAGAAATACGGTGAAGTGGAGGAGGTGGAGATTCTCTACAACCCCAAAAACAAGAAGCACTTGGGCATTGCCAAAGTGATCTTTGCCACTGTCAAAGGAGCCCGGGAGGCTGTCCAGCACCTTCACAACACCTCTGTCATGGGCAACATCATCCACGTGGAGCTGGATACAAAAGGTAAGGGGCCACATTTCAGCCTCATGTGTTTGTGGTTTGGGGTGATGCTGCCCGTCCCCCTCCTGAAACGAGAGGTGATGAGGGTCTTGTGGTTACCAGTCCGAAGGGAGTGCTGCTGTCCCCCTGAGCGGGTCTGGTTCCTGGGGCCTTTGCAAGTCACGTGGAGCCAAATGTGTTGTCTGTTGCTAGGAGACAGCCCTGTAATTTGCAAAATGCTGCCATCCTGCCCATCCCCTGCCCGTCCCCTGCCTGTCCCTTGTCCTCGGAGGTCTCTCGTGTGCCCCATCTCCATGTCCCAGCCTTACCCTGCTCAGCCACCTCCCAGGGCTACCGGACCCCGTGGCACCTGCTTTTTGCAAACTTGGGATTTTTGGCCAAACCTTGGAGGTTCCTTGGACCTAAATGTCTGGATTCTCTTGGCAGCAGCGGGGCTGGGTGCTGTCCTCTGCGTGCCTGGCATTTCATCAATACTTAGCATTAAACAGGAGGCTGGCAGCAAAAGAGTGCACACGCAGCACTTGTCAGTGTGTGCGAGTGTGTAAGTGTGAGACTGTCTCTTAAAGTGATAGGAGCTCCCAATCCGGGAGGTAACCAGCCCTCAGCCCCAGGGAGCCCAATAAAGTTTCTGGAAGCACTGCATTTCACTGCTTTGGCTTTTTCTCTTTCCTCCAAGCTTGTCAGTGAAAGGCTTAGCTAAAATGTGCCTAAATTTTAGTAAATTTCTGTATATGAAGAGGTGTAAGTCAGTTACTGCTTATAATTCTTCACTCCAAACATGGCATTTCTAGTTCAGAACTGACTAGCTGCACTCTTCCTTGCAAAGAGGACACTGTTAACATCATTTTCTTAAAAATGCTGGTATTTTTGTTCTGATATTAAAAGGTTTCAGTGATGTAGTGCACAACCTACACAACACTTGGTGTGCCACATGTAGTAAGAGGGTATAGTAGGATGTTTATTGACATGACTGATCACCGTTAGAGAAAAACCATGGTAGCAGTGTAATATTGTGTACTTTGAAATTCTCGTGTCATTAGTTTTTATAGACTGGCTCCTTCCCCTGCTTGCTTTGAAGGTAAAAATTACCCTTAAGAACAAATTAACCATTTGTAGATTCAATAACAGAAGCTAAAGCAGGCTCATAAGTAGTGCACATCTTAATGAGAGGCATTTTAAACAAGCCGATTGTACAACATTCCTACTTCTCCCTTGATAAACCACTTTGCAAGCCTTGAGCAGGCAGCTGTTAAGGAAAGTTAGCTGCATGTCAGGCAAATGAGGGGCTTTTATGCTTCTGTTTCTTGGGAGAAAACACTGAAGTCTTAGTTTTGAATTGCATTTTTCCTTGCCAGCTCTATGCTTCTAATGTATTTTTTTTTTTTCCACTTGCGTCTCTTTCATTCTAAAAGACTGTCAGTGTGCTATAATCTGTCAGAATCAAGTAAAAATGTTATTCCTAAAATAGCATTAGCAGGTTAGGGCATTCTTAAAATAGATGGAGTTCTCAGCATATCTTTCTAGGATTCAGCTTTTCAGGAGAACGAAAGGTTGGTTAAAAACTTGATTTTCATAGTCTAGCAAATAGATACTTGGTGTCAGTGTGGTGGTTTATCTGTCTGGCCAGAAGACAGGACTGGGAATTTGGAAGTAGTAAATCCGGCCTCTTCATATGAGGCAGGCTAGTTTAAAGCAACTTCTCTGTCTCAGTTTATTCATCTGTAAAATGGACACACTTAATAATTATCTGTCCTTAGAGAAACAGGAATCATTTCACATTCATAAACCTCCTTAAAAATGATATTGTAGCTCTGTTGCATTATGTTGGAGATCCAGGAAGAAACTTTATATCTTTCTAAGAATCACTTTGTGTTTATCTAGAAACAGGTTTTAGAGGGAGCCTAACACATCCGTACCCCTGCCACTGTAGTTGTATGTTGGGGTTGTGTGTGTTAATATTTAAAGCACAGTATTTCAAGCATCTCTTCAAGATCTTGCAGTGAAGAGATTCATTTTGTCATGACTAAAGTTTGCAGTTGAACTAAAACAGTTTACATAGTTGAGCATGTGGCTCAAGGCTTTGTGAAATGAGATTTGATACCCAAATAACCTCATCTGCAGCATTTATTCCAGAGAAATGATAAATGAGCCTCTTCCAGTCTGGAGAATTGTGCTAAAGGGTGCTGTGCTTTGAAATTGTACAGAGTGATTCACAGGCAGTTTGAGGTTTGATCCTGCAGGAATTCCTCATGAAAGTAGTCCTGTTTAAGGGCAGATCTTGCCTGAATTAATTTTCCGGGCTCAGATGCTGGATCTTTCCATTTTTCTATGTATTCTTTAAGAGCAAAATTCCTACAGTTTCCAGGGTCTGATTCTGTTGCCTTTGAAGCTGATGACAGATTTCTTGCAGAACTGCAAAATCAGTAGGATTGGGGTTTTGTGGGAATAAAAGAAATCCAATATTAAGAAACTGGGTCTTTGTAGAATTTCGGAATGAAAAGGCTAATGCTCAGTAACAGTATGTGGGACAGTTTGCTTCTCTGGCTCTTACCGTTTGAATTATGCTGCCGAGCACACCTTAAACTAGGGGAAAAAGAAGAAAGGATTAGTTGGTGTCTTTCTGGGAGAGCAGCATTAACGGTTTTGTCCTTGGCATTCCCAAGCATTGTGTTTGCATTAGTAACAGCCAGTTTCTACTAGCAAGGTGTGTTGGGAGAGCTTTCTGAAGTGGCTCTGGGTGTTGGCAGAGCCTTGTCCCTTGAGTGAGAGTTTCACTTCTCAAATCTGCAAGCTATTTGCTTGGCACTTTGGAGAAGAGGGAAACTGCTGCTCTCCAGAAAGCATGGTAAAGAGCAGAGCTGCCAAGCGGGCTGAGAAGAGGAAAAGGGATTTAGAAACCTCCTTGCCTTGGCTGGGAAAGGGAGTGTCTGACTTCACTTGCCCAGCAGATCGTTTAAAACTGATCCCTGCAAGCCTCAGAGGTGATACCTGCTCCTCTGTTGCATGGATGCAGTGGGCTGGGAGTGGTAGCAGGGTCTTAGGGGTGTCAAGAATCTTTTTGCTTGGGCTGTGTTATTTCTGATTATAATCAACTCTTCATTGTGGCCTGCACAGGTGAAACCCGCATGAGGTTCTATGAACTGCTCGTTAATGGTCTTTACACTCCTCAGACCCTCCCTGTGGGCACCGAACAGGACGTGTCGCCAACTGTGAATGAGACTCTCCAGGTATGTCTGCTAGTTTGGATTTCAGAATAACTTTCTAGAAAATTCCAACCTTGCATTGTTAATGTGAGCATTTTGACACTTTTAATTTAGCTTCTCTTTGTTTTTTTTTTTTTTTTTGTCTTGCCATAGTTTCAGTGGATGTTACTAATTAACTTTAAATATAACTTGCTTCTAATTGCCATAGCAAATGTAACTCTGTGAATGCAGTGCATGTGGCTAATCTGTATGCTGGTGTCTGCATAGCATGGTAAGTGCTTTTTGTCTTTGAGTGAAAAATGCTTATAGAGCTGACAGTATGTGCCCTATTAACATTAGAAATTCCTGCAGTTATGACTGGATCGGGTCTGTCCCTGAGATGAGGTTATTCCCTTGAAGTCAGGGGGAATGATTTACAGTGGTACATTTGGCCAAGTATCTGCAGTGTGTAATCCTTAGCCCGTACATTCTTCAGCCTTGCTTAAAGGCTGAATGATAGAATGTGTCTGCTCTTGAATAGTGGCATCAATTTTCCAGACTCTTAATTAGTCACTGGAATCAGTTGCTAATAAAAGCAGTGGATGGAATTCCTGAGGGCTTCCAGGGGTCCCTTGGTATCTAGGGTATGATTCTCTAAATGGCATTTACAGTTACCTGCTCCCTTGCAAAATCCATCGGGATGAGAGGGCGAAGGGGAAGTGAAGCCTGTTTGTGTGGAGTTGTTAGCGTTCTTGGCTTGTCTGAGTGTACGTTGGCTCCTGATTGTGGCTTAGGAATTCACTTTAAGGCATCAAATTTGAAAGAGATTTGGCAGAGATTTCCCCTTTTTTCTCCCTTCTTTCTAATTCTCTGCATTCTTAGGAGTTTTTAAAATGCCAGAATTTCATTAATTCCCTGATCAGATGTTTTCAGGACAGGGAAGAGCTGCACATTGAATGTGAAAATCCCATTGATCTGAAAAACAATAAAATTCTCTTCTCCCACCAACTACTCCACCAGCAGCAAGGCAAAACACCAGTATCCTTTTAAGAGAATCATAAAGAGGCTGATCCCTCCTTACCTCCTAGCAAGGTGTTTTTAAAGGCAGGAGCCAGTCAAGTAATGATTTTCCTGGGCGCCCTGCTATGAACAGGGCCTGGCTTTTCATTTCTGCTGGTTGCACGTCTCAAATGAAAATGCACAGCGTTGCTTACTCCTTTTTTTCAGGGTTAACAGCAAAAATTGATGGTATCCCCCAAAGCAGCCCCTGCTGTAATTGTCTTTAAGATTGTTTCTCTAGATCTTGTGTTCATGTATTATATCATTATCCTGAATTGATTTTTTTTCCAATTACCATCAAAATTTATTGCTTTGCGGGGAACTTTTAACTGTTTGCAGCATGTTCTTGTCACTAGAATCTGCCAACGAACTTGTTTGCTATTGTAGTTTAGTAAAATACTCCTGACATCTGCTTTCTCCCTCATACAGAGCAACAAAGACCTGACAGTTCTATGAGCCACAATCCCTGCCTGCAGACTATATCCAAACCCCACTGAAAAACAATCCCCATCATATCTACACCAAAGGTGCAGAGATGTGGATTCTGTCAGGAAGCACGTGGCTGGTTCTTGACCCTTTCTGTGGGTTTTAGAACAGTTGAGGAAGAAACTAAGAAACTTCCCTGATGTCCATGTGGTCTTGGTCTCGAGGGGGTCACACCAAGAGCAAGTCCAGACTATTGAGTGGGTGAGATGTGGTGAGTGAAGCAGGCAGGGGAGAGAGCTCAGCTTTGGAGGTATTACAAGCAGATAGTTTTAAGGGTGTCTCCACCCAGCTGTGCTCTGGGAGAGGAGCAGCCAGCATGTAGTCTCACCAGTTCACTGTCCTTTTGGGGATTTGGAGCTCAGTCCTGCTTTTTGCTACCAGGTGGATTCTCACTGAGCTCTTGTTTTGCATTGTAGAACATTGTGGTGCTGATCATTAGAATGGCACCGTTATGACTCAGCAGAGTCTTGAGTTGGAGCTAGGCTCCTCTTAGAAACCCCCTGAATGTGCCTACAAAGTGAGTTGCAGAGCAGTAACTTGGCTGTTCTGTAGCCTTGTAGGGTTTCAATTTCAAATGCCATGGTCAGTAGGGCTCTACTTCAGCATTTGTCTTTGGGAAGGGGTTTAAAAAGGTAATTTCTGGCTGTAGAGAACTTTCTGTGCCTTTTATACCTGTAACCTTCTCCCTTCTTCTTAGAGATGAATGTTCGGTAGAGAGGTCTGTGGCTCAGCTCCCTCAGCTGGACCAGCACAAAGCCCTGCAGCATAGATTTGGTTGCAGTTTGCTGGTTTGTAGGGTTTGATTTGTTCACATTAAAAAAGATAAATTGATAATTTCATAGCTCAGAATTTTCTGACTTTCCTATTTGCAATTTAGACAAGCCTTACAGAACTGAAAATGAAACGTTTAGCTGAAAGCATTGTGCAAGTCTCCTGTTCACCTGATGCTCTTGGCTATAGCTCATAAGGAATACTGTTGTATCTGCTTTCTTCTTCCTCCTCTTACAGACAAGTTCTTCTTTGCTTGCCTTTCGAATCCAGTAATGGATAATATTGATGGATGGTGTAACCTATTTTGTTTTGCCATGGAAATTAGTGCGGACTCCTGTGTGCTCAACCCCTTTGAAAACCAAATGGATTAGACAAATACCTTTTAAAAAGCGTGTGTTTAGGTGCTTTTCTCTCTTCTGCTTTTGTAGTTGACGGATTCCCTGAAGCGCCTGAAAGACAGTAACCTGTCCTCTGCGGGATCCTCTGTCACCCCCAACAGCAGCACCCCGTTTTCCCATGACACAGCCTATTCCAGCTGTCGGCAAGACACCCCAAACTCCTACAGCCAGTTTACCCCTCAGTCCCAAGGAACACCTCACACCCCACGGTTAGGGACGCCGTTTTCCCAGGACTCCACCTATTCTAGTCGTCAGACAACGCCTGTCTACCACTTTGGGCAAGACAGTGGGTACAAACCCAGGAGACATGAAACTAAATTTACAGATGCCTACAACCGTCGGCCGGGACATCACTATGTCCATAACTCGGTGGGTGTTTTCCGAGGGACGGAGCATCAGTTTAGTACTTACAAGTCCCATCAGCCAGAGCCAGTTCAGTTCTCTCACACTCCTCCCCTGAGCCACTCTAGTTCTTCAAGCTACAAATCTGCCTTCTCTCCCTACCAAGCACCAGCTGTATTTCCCCAAGCTGATGAGCAGCCGTTTCCCCAAACTTCCAGGGAAGCAGAGTATCGAAGACCTGCGCCACCTCCGACTGAGATGGTTGTGGAAAGCAGCGCTGCCCCTAACATCGATTTTGTCCCAGTGAAGGAGAAACAGGAGGAGCCTCCTCCACCCTTGCCCGAATCGAACTCTGCTCCTGAACCGAGCGCAGCATCCTTCTCTCAGACCCCAGAGAGAAGCGAGACCCCTGGCACCCCCACCATGGAGTCTGAAATGCAGCATAACAGTTTAGACTCAAGGATTGAGATGCTCTTAAAAGAGCAAAGAACAAAGTTACCCTTTCTGAATGAGCATGACTCGGATAACGAGATCCGAATGGAAGGCAGCCCCATTTCCTCCTCTTCTTCCCAGCTCTCTCCCATCCCAATGTACGGTTCAAACTCCCAGCCCGGTTACAGAGGTCAGACACCTTCCTCGCGCCCTTCCAGCACAGGCCTGGAGGACATCAGCCCCACACCATTACCTGACTCTGATGACGACGAGCCTATCCCTGGGACAGCTTCGTTGAGTCAGAACTCCCGCGGGACATCGGAGGCCAGCATGACTCCCATTGATCAGCTGAGCAGGACCTCCAAACTTGAGACTTCAGAGGCTAAAGAAATGGTGCCTGGTGACCAGACTCCAACGTTGGAAAAAATGGACGAGGTAAGTGAGCTGAGCTGAGTTCTGAAGCTCCATCTGTATCCCTAGAGCTGGAGGGCTGGGAATTGCACTGTAGGTGTTGTTAGAGCGTAAGGTTTCTGGAGCCTTTGTCTGAAGGCAGCTGGAAATGAGTGACACCAAGTGATGGTCTTAATCAGCTTGCCAGTCTCCAGCTTCCCTTGTTCCTGATAGCAGCCTGCTGCAATTTATAGCTCCGGGAGAGTTCAAGGACTGCCCAAGCCACAGAACTTTGGCCAGTGCTTGTGTTGTGTGAATGTCCTGAGTGTCGACAGACGCTTAAGCCACTAGAGTTAATGGAGCACTTTCTGCCATTGCTTTGGTCCCTGAGCACGGGTGTGTAAGTGTGCACCCACTTGCTAAACGGGGCTTTCATGTTACAGCGAAGTATTGAATGTGTACTTCATTTGATAGCTCTCCAGCTATTTATGCTGTCTGGTTTGAATGGGAGACAGTTGCTGGGTTTTAATACTTAGCTCAGTTGAAAGGGGGAGGTAGCTGGCTTGTTGGGGGATGTGCTCCACGAAGTATTCCAATAATAGAGCAGAACTTGCTGCCTCTGCTGGGGCATTTGGGGCTGAAGGGACAGCTAGAGCTTTAACAGTGTGGAAAGCTGCCAGCAGAGAGAAATTACGTTGCACGGGGTGTCTGTTCAGGATGAAACAAATGTATCTCTGCAGTAGACCTGTCAGTGCTATTCTGCTGTGTCAAAGAACAGTCAAAATACAGATCTTTGCAGATGCCAGGCTGTTTCTTCTCAGTGTTTATAATAGTCATGCAGGGAAACAGAGCTGCTGTACCTCGTGTGCAGGAACTCTGCAGTAAGGGGACCTCAACCATCCGAGCGGACTGGTCTTACATAAATGACCCGAGTGGGGCAAATCAATTGAATTTACTCATACAAGTTTTGCTGGGTTTAAGCTGGCAGAATGGGTTTCCCTCCAGTGGTCTGCAGTGGTGAGGTTTTCACTGGAGAAGTGGCTGCATTTCAGGAGAGGAGGAGCTGCTCCTGTAGCTATGGGCTTTACAGAGTGCTTAGCTGAAGGGAAAGTGCTGCAGCAGAAACAGAGTGCAGGGCTTGGAGCTAAAGACAGCAAAACCCCAGTAACTGTAGTGCTTATTTAGTTGTTTCTACATGCCTTTCCAAGCCTGCTTGTCCTTGCAGTTGCCAGTTTAGCCTTTGAAACAATTCAGCTGCTTGAGGTCTCATTCATCATCGAGGCTGGCCCAGGATCTCCTCCTGGGAGGCAAGTCCCTGGCTGGTGGGACCTGATGATGTGTTAATTAGGAATGGAGTTTTGATTCCTTGAGCTCAGGCTGGCAGGCTTCAGAGGAATATCTTAGTTTGCCTAAAACAAGTGAGGAAGGCATCTCCCATCTCCTTGTCACTCTGGGTTTCTCTCTGCTGTCCTTTACTCTCATGCAAGCCAATACTAAGCATGTTTAGGATGGTGTGTCGGGTCAGGCACTTTCCATCAGCACTGGGGGACTGATTGGGCTGTTACATTTGTAGATTGCAGTGTGGGGCAGCAGCAAGATCACATTGAAGCCCATGTCCAGTTTTTGTCTCCCCTTAATGAGATGCTGGTGTCAAAAGCTCACATTAATGGTTCTGTGATACAAAATGATGCAAATGCCTCGATCCTCTGCAAAAGTCAGCAAGGTGATAGCAGGGTCTCCAGGCAGGTCACTGCTGTCTCCTCCCCACAGAAAAGCGTGATGTTTGTTGTTGGAACTCTTTATTCAACCTTCTCTTGGTTACAAGTCACACTGAACTATGCTGACATGTTTGAAAAGTTGGCTGTGCCTTTCATTGCTCCTTCTGATGCACAAAAAACCATCTCCATGTGTTTTGCTTCCTTCCTCCACCCTTCTCCCCCCCTCTCCCTGTTTTTTGCTTTAGAAAAAAAGCTTTTCTGGCTTCCTTCTCTTTTGCTGGACGAGCAGAGCTGAACAGTGACTTAACATAGGCTGAAATTTGAGCTGCAGCTTTCCAACTGAGTTAGAGAGGGGCATTGAGTCTGAGGGCTGGAAAGCTGAACCTCCGACTTCAGCCTATTGTGGTACCACTATTCAACTTTCAGTCCTTCAGAGAATCCTCCAGCAAAACAGAGGGAAGGCAGATCCGAATACTTCCAGTGACTGTGTAGCGTGGGGAGTGGAGCAGAGGTGATGTATTAGTGCAGGGAGGGCTCATACAGTATCAGACGGAAGCAATAAAGGGCAGAGAGATCGACCTTCTTATTTACTTCATGTTTGGCTGTTCAGGGCTTGGAGCAGCCCCAGGCCAGCTCTCTTTGGGCGGGTGCTCCAGCTGGGAAAACCTCAGGATTCTGAAGGATGCCAGCAAAGTTGTAGGGAGATTTTTCCATGGGACAGTAGGTGCTTTTCAAGGACTTACTTCAGTTTCCTATCAAAACAAGCATAATTTTTGTCAGTGATTGTTAATACGGTAACGTTTGTACTATAGGTGAAGTGCTGTCAAACCTTCAGTCACCTCACACTTGCCATAGGTAAAGGAGGTACAGCCAAGCCCCTGCAATTGCTCTGATTTATCATGCAAGACCCTGAGTTTGATTTCAAGATCCGGTCTGATACTCCTAAGCCAGAGTTTGGCAGGGATTTTGGGTGTGGGAGAGGAAGGGCTGTGCATCTCTGCCTGCAACACCTAACACCCATAATTGGAGCAGTGATTATGGTCTGCAGAGAAAGTCCTGCTAAGCTTAGCTGAGGGATGAGTGTCGAGAGGAGGAACAGATCGGGATGTGGGCAGTAGGATGTAAAAAGAGAAAAGGGATCCCTGACAAACAGCACAACCTGCCAGCAGGAGGGAAGCGCAGAGAGGGCTTTTTCAAAAAGACAATAGATAGCAAGGAAAGAAAGAAGCTGCATTATTATTGTTGAGGGTAACAGTGTGCAAACTTACCTGCCTGTGTTCCTCAGAGGTAACAAGGAAAGAACTTTCTTTTTCACAGGATCTTTGCTGTTTCAGCAGTGCGAAGGTTAAGTAAGTACAGTTTGACTTGCTGGCATCCCATTTGAGCCAGGTCTTGTTTTTGCTTGGTTTGTTACAGGAAGAGGCCCTGCCTGTGTGTGCTGGGAAGTGTGAAAGGATTGTAACAAGTCACGTTGTTGTATATTAATGATGCCTTTCATGTTTCAGCTTATGGATATATCAGTTTGTGTGCGTAGCAGGTGGTTTGGGGAGCAAATGAAGTCTCACAGTGCACAGCAGCCCTAGAGCCTCCAAAAGCCACTGCTGTCACCAGCCCAGTATCACCTCAGTGTCTCACTTGGCTGTTGTGAATGTTTTTAATGCCATGCTGGATGCTGAGGTGTCTCTTACAGGACAGCATCAGCATCCCCGTGACAAGCTGTGTGTGTGCAGCAGTTACCCATGGGGGAATTTCTAAGCTGTGCTTACACATAGATGAGGTGGGTCAGGCTCAGCCCCACAGTGGGCTCTGCCGAAGTCCCTGAGGTTATGTCTGGGCTGAATTTCAACTTTGCATTGAAGTATGTTAGGGTTCTTGTGTGGCCGTGGCCAGAAGTGGAAGAAACTCACGTGCAAGTGTCATTACATTGTCCCTCTGGAGCCTTAGCAGGATGTGATGACATTCTCTTCAAGACACTGCATCGTGTCTTGTGCCACTCCACACTTCTGCATCCCTGTCCAGACTGGGCTGTGTTTCAGTAGCTGGTAAATGATTCCCCTTTCCTCCAGAGCCAAGTTCAACCTTTAGCTGTCAGGAGAGAAAGCAGTGACCTGATGCTGTCCAGGCGGTAAGAGGAGCTGCAGGGGAGTTTCTCTGCCAGCAGTATCTGCAGTGGTCACCCCAGGAGTGGTTGATGCCCCTTGGAGCTGTGTTGCGCAGGAGCAAATCAGTCTCTGTCTACAGAAGGATGCTTTCCTCCTGTACCCTAGCTTGTGTGGGGTTGGAGGCAGTCCTGTGTTCTTGGTTGGTAGTGGGTGGAGCCTCCTAAAGATGAACCCAAATGCACTCTCGTAAGGGATGTTTCTAGGTTGGAGAGTGCAGAAGTGATTTACTCAAGGTAAATGCATGCCAAGATAGCTAAGGTAGAGTCTTAAGAGCCAGGAAATGTGATACCTTCGTTTCCACAGTAACTGTGCATGAGCCTTTATGCCCATAAGTAGCTGTTATGTATGTATAGTATACATGGGTACACCTGGGATCCAATTTACAGCTAGAGTGGGATCCATCGTGTCTGGAGGGAGATGGGGGGGCATACATGTGGGGAATGGCTGCTCTGGCTGTGTTTTTAAATGAAGGAGGGGAGAAAACCCTGAGAGTTGTGATTTATGCCCAGTCTCATAAACACTTTCTCACATTTTCCTGCCTCCTGAGCTCCTGTGAATGCCATCATGCCTGACAGAACCTGTTCCTAATGGAAACTCAAAAAATAGGTGTATGTTATGACCATGACTTTCCAGAAATGCAGCCAGCCAATGCCCAGGCAGCAAAGATTGGGATGACTGCTGTGGTTTGACATGTGAGTTCCACCAGCCACACTAAACCTGTGAAATGAAAATGAGAGCAAGCTGCTTAAACTGTGGCTTCAGTTCTGCTCTCCCTGACCCATGCACAGCAGCAGTGAGAAGCCACAGGGACTTGAGGGGATCTTGCAGAGTTTAAGTATTGAAGTTGGGAAAAAGGCAGCACACAGATCCCTCGAAGGGGATGCAAATGTGACATGACACTGGACCCTTCTAAGAGCTCATAGATTGGTTCAGCCTCTGTGACCAGAGGAAGGAGCATGCTGAGGCAGGGCTACATTCTCCCAGAGGTGCTCAGGGCTGAGAGTCAGTTCACATATAGCCTGGCCAAGATAAGGATGTGCTGGTTCCCGAAGCAGTGGAAATACACAGTATTTTACCTTTATTTCAGAGCTAACACTAGAAGACCACAGGCAGGGACTGCTTTCTTGAACATCTGATCCAGTTTCCACTAACAGCCTGCTGCCTC